CCCAGGGACAGGGTCCCAGCGCGGGAAAGGGAGGGGCGTTGTGTGGCCGAGCTCCGCGGTGTCGCGTGTTTTGCACCCCGCGGGATGGGGCCGCGTCGTGGCTGTCCCGGCCACTGCGCGCGGGGCCACTGCGCGCGGAGCCCCAAGCGAATCCCAGAGGAGAGCGCAGGGCTGCGGGCGCCCAGGGGTGCGGTTCCCGCTTTACCCAAGGGAGCGTGCGGAGTATCAGGCGCCTGCTGGGGTCCCCGCTGAGCTCGGCTTTCTTTCGTGGAGCGCGGGCTAGGCTGGAGGCGCCCGGGTCCTCCGACTGTCCCGGGCCGGGAGGGGTGGACCCGGAGAGGCCCCTTCCCGGAGCCCCAGGCCGGGCAGACGGCGGGCGAACCGGCCGCTCGCTCCTGTTGCAGCCTCCCGCGTCAGAGTTTTCTTTGGAAAGTTGCATTTATTTTCTTCCCTTGTCTGGGCTTCGCCGGAAAGGGGCAGGATGAGTCACCGTGGCGCGCACAGTCCGGGACTTGGGGGAGCCGGCAGAGGGGCCCACGACCGGGGTGCTCAGCTCTGGCCAGCTTTCTTGGGGAAGAGGGAGATGGTTACTAAGGGAGGAAAAGGGGACTGAGCCCTTCTGGGCTAGTCCTGGGTCCAGGCTTTGGGTAGAGTTGAACTGAGGTGTGTGTTTCTGTACCCTCTATTGAGCTCCATCATCCTTCTGGGGTACAGAAAGTAGAGCTTGCTCTTTGCTCCTGTCTCCCAAGGCTCAGGTGGGATGGGGGAAGTTCTCGTAAACAGCAAACAGGTGTGGTGGTGTGAAGCTAGGCATTCCCTACAGCTTCTTAAGAGCTCTAGGCTTGGGCAGCAGCATGGTTTGGTGGAGAAGCCCCCATTAATCTCCAGGCTCAGTCCTTCCCTAGTCTCCCATTCCCTTCAGGCGGTGGAGCCTTGGGAGTTGCTCTTGCCCTTGACCTCTGAATCCACCTCCTTGTTTCTGACACACACTCTTGACCTGCTCAGCTTTTCCCTCTGGCCAGGGGGCATTCCCTGGTGCTTCCTCTTTTCCCAAGGGAGTTGGGGTAGGGAGGGGTTTGGCATAGTGGGTACCTGGTGAGGACTTGCCTTCAGCTGTTACACAGACCTAGTACTGGTGGAGGGTAGACTAAGAATAGCCCAGTTGCTGCCCGGCTGCCCTGGAGCTGCAGCCTGACATTGCCAATAGACTGGGGCCCAGAGTGACCCTTGCTGGGCTCCTGGAAACATTGCTCAGGGGTGGGGGTGAGGCTGTGGGGGCTTCTGGCTCCCTTTCCTGAAGCACTTAACAGATCTCCTTTCAGAGTGCAAATAGCCTTGTGTGGACTTACCTGACCAAGAGGAGGCTGGCATGGGACAGGTGGGGATGGGGGAAGAGGCTGGATGAGAAGCCTGAGGAAAGCTATAGAGTGACAAGTCTCAGGGAGTAAGTGGACATAATTTGAGGTCACAGGCCCTTCTGTTGGACCTTTTCACACATACCCCCATTCCTTCCTTATCACCTCCCCCCAGGCTTGTCCTGGAGCCAGGACTCTGTTGTTCTAAAAATGCCCACAAAATGGAGCTTGAGTCAGCCGGATGAGTCTGAAGATAAAAATACAGCTGTGGATGAATGTACAGCTGTGGATGAATGTACAGCTGTGGACATACAGGCCCCAATTTAATGGGTGTGTGCTGGGGGGAGTTTTCCTATGCACTTGTGGAGTATATGGTGAATTCCCCCCGCCTCTCCTGACTCTTAACTATGTAGGAGGAGCTGGACACTGAGCTTGGGTGGTCCACTGTGGCCTGCCAGGCCACTGCCACTGGGTGATGCAGGGGTGGTGGGCAGGTCCCAAGCTGGAGCTCCTCCTGGAGAGGGCTCTGGAGAGAGAAGGCAGAAAGGCAGGGAGGGATGGTGTGAGGACTGTGGAAGGGAGGTCACTTTTGGACACTGTCCCCTCCACCATTAGAACCTGGTAACACATCGGGGATGGAAGTCAGACTGCTAGAGAGGTAAGTCTGTAGAGTGGCTGGTCCCACTAGCTGTGCTTCACTATGGTAGCAAGTTGCTTAACCTCTTTCAAGCCTCAACATTTCTGGCTACAAAGTGGGGATGATGATCATAGTAATGATCACACCTACTATGTAGCTTTGTTATTTGTTAAATACATTATAACAAAAATAACTTTATAATTATATGTAATATATAAAGTCTAAAATTTTTCCTTATTAAACAATATATGGAGAGCACCTGACTATAAGCCTGAGACATATGTAGTAAGTACTCAAATGTTAGCTGGTATGAACATCATTTATCACCTGTGACTGAATGGATAGCAGCACACAGTCTGGGGCTCTTTTTCTGGGACCTTGCTCTTTAAAAAAAAAAAAAAAAAAAAAGGCCAGGGACCACGGAGCTTACCTGTAATCCCAGTGACTTAGAGGCTGAGACAGAAGGATGGCAAGTTCAAGGCAAGCCCCTGGGCAACTTAGTAAGACCCTATCTCAAAATAAATAAATAAATAAAAAGGATTGAATTCAATCACCAGTACCACCCCCCCCCCCCCCCCCCCCTCCACAAAAAAAAAGTCTGTGTAGACCTTACTTCTTTGGGAGCAAGGTCTCCTGGACTTTGGGGGAGTTGGTATGAATAGTTAAGAGGCTTGGCTCTGGGAAAAGGGTTTGAATCCTGTTTGTTCTTGCGCAAGTTGTTTGCCCTTGGAGCTTCAACTTTCTCCTCTATAAAATGAGGGTAATAGTACCTATCTCACAGTATTGCAAGATTAAATAAACTGATGTAGGTAAATCTCCGAGTACAGCAGCTGCTTGTAAAAAGAGCTTGGTAAATGTCAGCTGCTATTTGGTGACAATGGAGGCAATCATTGTGGTTTAGCTTAGAAACCAGAGTTTCTTAGCAAGGGAATTACACCACAGATAATCAAATGTGAGTTATGATTGACACATCTGTCTTTGAACTTGTCCAGTGCAGGGAACACACCAGGACTGGGCACCTTAGTCTCTCTCCCCTGTCAGCATTGTGAGATTCGTTTTGTGATTAGTTCAGAACCCCCTGCACTGCCTGCCTTCCAGGTACCTCCCAAGTGTTCTCTGTAGAATGGAAGGGAAGGTACCGGAAGATGATGAGGTGATATCGGCCCTGAATGGTTAAGAGCTTTCTAGCAGAAAGGTGATTTGTTATTTTTAGGAAAACTGTGTGGGGAGGGTGCACCAAACAGGGACTCTGCTCTGTCCTCCCTTCCCAGCTTGTGGGATCTTTTGCACTGTTCTTTGGTGTCCAGAAGAAGAACTCAGCCTAGCTTTCCCTGAACAGTCACCGGCCCTGTTTGCTGGACAGCAGGGGTGGAGGCTGAACCAGTTGGTACCAGGCCCAGTGTCTCAAATGCTGATGCCACTTGACTCCCAGCAATAGAGCTGGAGCGTTGAGCTTTGTCCAGTGTATTAAGTGTCTCTGCTTGGGGGCAGGGGTTGGTGACGGTGCCATCACAGGATGGTCCTGATCTGTGGCCAGAACTTCTTGTTGAATCTCTTTTTTAACTCTGTGGTCTGGGTTTCCTTCTCCATTAAAAGAAGTTCACAGTTTGCCACCAACCCTGAATGACTGTGGGGCTCCTTGCCTCTGAGGCTGGAGATGGACCTGCCCTTCCTACCCTATCTCACCCCTCCACCAGCCCATTGACTTTGGTTTCTTTGTCTGTAAAATAGAGATAATATTCACCTGGTGAGATGATGCTGAGGATTAAGTGAGATATGCATATTTATCAAAGTACCTACCCAGACCAGGTACTAGAGGTTACTGTCTCTGGTGGGGGCTGGCTCAGCCAGCAAGAAGTCAGTTGGAGGCAGCTCTGGTCTCATAGCCTGCAGTCCCTCGTTCAGTTCACCAAGTTCAGACCAGATGGAATGCCCAGCCAAATGGGATCTCCTCAAGAGCGGCCAGCCCATGACAGCAGTTTCTCTCACCCTGGTATGAGCTGTCAGCCCCCGTCCCCTCCCCCCGAAGTCTGTCTAATCTCATCTACTTTGAGCTGGCAAATAGTGCCAAGAGCTTGGAGCACCCTGTCCATCCCTAGGGACATGGCACTCTAGATTCCCACTCCTGACTCTGTCACTATAGAGGGCTGAGCCCCTAGATGTCTCCATGGCCCTGTCTGAATCCTGGGTCAGATCTCCTTAGACAGTTCCCTGACTCGGCCTCACCCATGGACTTTCTTTCCGTTGAGCACTCATATCCTCCTCGGGTCCTGGGCAGGGCCTGTGTGCCCTGCTTACCAGAAGCTGAAGGGCTAGTGGGGGAAGGAAAGGATTACAAACCAGAGGCCTGAGGACTATGTACAGGCTCCAGCCCTGAGGGGTATGTGGGAAAGATTTGGGGGAGACAGGGGGTACTGGGCAGCTTGGGTTCCAGGGAGTCTGGAGGAGGTACGGGACAAGGTTCAGGGGAAGAAGGCAGGCTGTTCAGGAGGGGGAAGTAACTGGAGCAGGCGCCTACTTGGGAAGCAAAAACCAGCCCGGTGCTGAGGAGTTTCCCTATCTTGGATCCAGGGAGGTGTGGAACTTTATCTAGGACACAGAGATTTGGGCTGGATTCGAGATCAGAACCCAGTCCCGTGGTCGCCTGTTCTTCCTAGCACATCTCAGTGGGGAGAGGCCAAGAGGAGGGTGGGAGCGTTTGGAAATCCGGGCTCCAGGGGCCTCACTTTACTTTTCTGCACAGGGCCTACCTGCTCATCTTTCAGGGCTCAGCATTGTCCATTTGCTCAAGAAAGCCTTGAACCTGCCTCCTTCCTGTGGACTCTCTGGCACCCCTATCACCTCAGTGCACACGGATTGCATGCACTTGGTCACATTTTCTCTCTTCTGCTAAAGGGGATCAGCTATTTGTGACCCCACCACCTTCAGAGTGGGCTTCTACATAATTGGTGCTCAATTAGTGTGGGGTGAGTGGGTGGGTGGGTTTCAGTGCTCTGTGGCATTCCTTTAGGTTAGGCTGCACTCTCCTCCAAGGGTGGGCAGACTCGAGCTCCTTCTCTTGGGCCTGCTTTCACCTTGCTGTTCACCAAGCAACTGTTTTTGAGAACACGCTTCCCAAGAACTAAATCTCATCCAGAGCCCTCTGATTATAAATGGGGCTGGTCACAGACCTGAGGATGTCAAGGCTGATGAAGACCATCAAATTTGCAGCTCTGGAGGGCATGCAGAGCTGGGACCAGCCTCTGGGTCTGGCCCTCTGGCCAAGGTGCTGCTCCTCAGTGGGTTTGTTCTACCTGCTCCATCTCCTCCCCGCTTTCCTCTGTGCCTCACCTCCTGAGGGAGGCCAGGCCTAGGCAGAGGACCAGGATTGGTTGCGCATGGATGGGGAGAGCCGCCTGGTCTGGCCTGGCTGACTGGCAAGGGTCAAGTTCATTAGGAGGGAGGCAGTTCAGGTTTCACTTTGCAGGAGCCTTGTGAAGAGGTGGAAGGAGGCGGAAGGAGCTTCCTGATGGACTGAAGACTGTGCCAAGGTCCCGAGTCACCCCCCAGGGTCCTCTTACCCAACCCTGGACCACAGGAGTTTTGGGTACTTTGCATTTATTGTAGCCCAAGAAGAGAAACAATTTAGTTACTAATTTCTGCCAGGAACAGAGTCCAACTCTGGGAGGAAGTAGGGAAGAGGGCAGCTCTGCCTCCAGGTGTCCTGCTTACTTGGCTTGATTTCAGGTGACAGCTGACCCTTGGCATTGTGCTGGTACTTGAACAGTGTGTGGGCAGGTACTGGATGGGTAAGTGCAGCCTCGGTGCCTTCTCCACCAGATTCCCCTAGACTCTCATTGGTAGCAGGCTGTGAAAACTTCTTCCTTAATGCCACAAGACTTTGTCAGTGACCCTCAGTAGACACCTGTCCATGGAGAGCACCTCCCTGAGGTCGGGGTTAGGTGTGAGATCACCTCAACACACACCTGGAAAGAACCATAGGCATTATCTAGACTAGCTCTTCTTTTACAGGTGTGAAAACTGAGTCCCAGAGAGATGAAATGGCTCGTGCAGGCTACACAGCCGTAGACATTGCTGAAACAGGACTACACTCTCCTGGCTCCCAATTCAAAGTGCTTTCCAGAATTTTCAAATGGTTCCAAATTTTTCTTTTCTTATTTGTGCAAACTTGGGCACGTTTCTTAAGTTCTCTGAAACGGAAACTTTCATCCTTAGAAAATAGGAATATTAAATACCTACTTGGTAGGAGAGTGTGAGTCGTATGAATTATTAAAAGGTAGATCAAGCACCTAACACATGCCAGACACCTCCTGGGCAGTTAGTAGGGGTCAGACACTGGGGATCATTGTCCCTGTGGATGGAAACCACCCACTCTCAGACCTCCCTTCTCAGCCTTCCCACTGCAGGCAGGTCTGTGGCAGTGACCTCTTCTCACCTGTTGGGGCCAGCACCTGGGGAGGCCGTCACATTCTTGTCATTCCTCCTGCTGGGGGCTGCAGGAGGCGCTAGTTGTGTGTGTGTGTGTGTGTGTGTGTGAGAGAGAGAGAGAGAGAGAGAGAGAGAGAGAGAGAGAGAGAGAGAGAGAGAGAAATAGAAGCTAGAAGCTGAGGAGTCCGGGATATGGTCCTCCTAACCACTATGTTTGGAAAGCAGAGAGCCCCGCCAAGCTCCCTCCACTGAAGAAACTTCACATTATTTATCTTAAAACACTACATGTCTGCGAACCCGGGGCCGTATGCATGCTGGGCAAAGCCTTCTACACTGAGCCACATCCTCAGCCCAGGTCCGTGGTCTTCATCTAAGTTTCCTTGCCTGTGAGGTGAGTATACTCGCTGTACCCACCTCATCCAGTGGTTGAAAGATTAAAATGCTTGGAAGAACGCCTGGTGTGCATGTGGTGACCTTGAGTGCCGATGCTGTTATTAATTGTAGATTAGGAAACTGAGGCTTGGGTGGTCAAGAATCAGTGGTGGAGCTGGCTTCCAAACCCAGGTCCAGGTGACTCCCTCACCTTGGTCACTCTGGGAATCTGCCAGAGTTTGGGGATGTCCAACTCAGAGGCTTGTAGCCTCGAGGTGGAAGCAGGCTCCTGGTTGAAGAGTACTGCTAGTCCTAGTGTGGAGGGCATGTCCAGTGTGACCTTGGGTGGCAGCTGTTCTCAGAGATGAAGTCGGGTTGAGAGGCCCAGGTGCCTGAAATCAGAATGTGTGTCTATGTTGACTGTCACTGTGGATGGTCAGGTGATCTACTTCAGTCTCAGCTCAGGCTGGCAGGGACTGACAGGCCAAGGTGAGGGTCAGGCCAGCCCCAGAATCCCTGTCACTAGATTGGAGAGGGGAGGGGAGATGAGTGCCAGCTCCAGGGACTGCCTCCCTGTCCCTCCCCTCCCTTCCCCCAATCTCCTCCAGCATTTGTTTCCTTTCCGAAGCTGAACTGGGGCTCTCAGGGCAACAAAAGCAACTTTCCTCCAAGCCACTGCCACCTGTTGGGCTTTCACACATTGGGGGTGAGGGGGGGGAGGGAGCCGTTGCCCTTTTCCCAGTGTCTGCGGTGTGCCCCCTCTGCCCCCCCAGGGCCTGGGATTCTCTTTGCTGCCAGAAGTGACAGGGCTCAGGAGCCGGAGGGGGTGGGGGACCAACAGCAGCTGGAAGGGGAATTGAGTGGGAAGGGGCTGGTACTGGCAGCCGGGAGAGAGTTTGATGGATTACTCTGCAGGCCGAGAGGTTTCTCCCTAATCCCCCTTTGTGTCCCAGCCTGCAGCCCCTCACTCTCTCTGACAAGCTGCTAAGCAGAAGGCTTCCAGTCAGCGGGAAGAAAAGGCCGCTCAGCGGGGTGAGCGCTAAATCCCTGGCCTCAGGGCCCTGGGGGAGGCAGGAGCTGGGGAGCAAGTCTGGGCGGGGCTGGGTTCCCCTTCCCACTGCCCGCCTCTTATTCTTTCTTAGGATTCCCTGGAGGCAGGGAGGTCCCCTTCTGAGTGGTGTCCTCAGGTGTGTGTGTGGGACCCTGTGAGGTCATAGCCCTCAGCTATTAGTCCATATCACTGTTGCATTTTTCCAGGGCCGGACAGGCAAAGCAGAGATCCCTACTGCCTAGGAAATTTTTAGGCTCAGAGAATCAAAGACTGATAGGGTTGGAAGGCTCCAATCCCTTCTGGAGTCTAGTGCTGTGCCCACCCCCACCCCCACCCCCCAACTCCTACCCCAGGAGCCCAGGTAGGAATTCCCACAGCCTCAGGGTCCCTAACCAAGGCGTCTGTAAAGATCGGGAGCTGCCTGCCTCAGAGGACACTTCCTAGTCTGTGGATGGCTGCTGCAGCCTTGTCGTGGGGCATCCCCCGGACTCCTGGTGAAGCTGCTACGAGAGGGTGTGGCTCCTTGGGGAGTGCAGTGTGCCAGGCAAGGCCCAGGTCATTGGTCCCTGGGACTGAGGCAGGGGGATGGACATAGGGATGCTGAGCTGTGAGCCCTCAGACCTGACAGGTCACTTTGCCGGCCTCAGCCTAGAGAGCCTAGGAGAGCTTAGCATGGGATGAGGTGCTGGGGTCCAGTGGGATTTGGAGCAGTGGAAAGTAACCCGTTCCTGCCTCTGGCCTGGCCTGGAGTGGGACAGTCTTGGGGAAGCTGACCTAGGATGACCCCTCTCCTTTCTTGGGCTGAGTCATTGCTCCTCGGGCTAGCCTGCCCCCTGCGGGGTTTCCCTCTCTGGGGAGGGGTGGCGGGTGGCCCTGCAGGACGGAGGAGTGTGCTTCGGGCCTCCCTGAGGAACTGTGAGAAAGCAGCCCGCCTTTGTGCGCAGCGAGGGAGGAGGCAGGGTCGCGGAGCTGGCGGGGTCAGGGTGGGGGCTGCGCCGTTTGATGTGCCTGGGCGGGGTGTGGGGACGCTGGCCTGCATAAAGAGGCCATAGAATTGCTGCCTGACACTGGCCCGGGGCGGGGGCTGCCCCCAGCCCAGGCTCCCTCTGGCCTCTGTCTGTCAGCGGAGGCAATCTGCTCCCCCCAGTTCCACCTCAGCCATGCGGGGTGGCAGGAGCCCCTTTGAAAGCCCTCAAAGGCCTCTTTATGCGTCCCTCTGACCCTGCCTTCCCTTAGGGAGCTACCAGGCAGTGGGCTTGGGTCGCCTTTCCTCCGCCTCCTCCACTCTGTCTTTTGAATTTTGGACAAAGTTCAGGCCAAGTTTGTTCCTGTTGCTCGGTTTCATTTCCCATGCTGCCTGCCCTGGGTCCAGTCTGAAGTGGGGGCATTCTAGGTCACTACCTTCGAGCCCAAGGAGTTGCCTCTACGAGAAATTTCCCGCCCCCCCCCTGCTTTTATACGTTTGTCCATCTGTCCATCCATCCATCCATCCATCCGTTCATTCATTGGGTAAAAATATTTCCCAGGTGCCCTTTCTTGCTGGGGCTGGTGACAGGGGTGTGAAGGAATCCGACATCACCCACCCTGGGGGATGCTGCACTGTTGGGTGCTGCGACCTGGGCAAATAGAATCCAGGTGCACTGACCTTGCCCAGGGCCCTTGGCTTCAGTTCTGTGCCCTCAGGGACGGGGAAGGGTGGTTTAGAATGGAACTCCAGGAAGGGTCCCGTGGACTAGGGATTTCCTCTGGCTTTCTTGCTGTTCCAGCTGTGAGGGGTCCTGGAGAGGAGGAGAAATGTTTGCAACTGGAGCCAGACTTGCCTTCCTAGAAGGCGCCCTGCTCCTTTCCTTCCGAGAGGTCAGCCCTCCACTTCTTGCCCCCTCCTCTCCAGGTGAGCAATCAGGAGCTGGCTCTTCTGGTTGATCTTCTGTTTGCCAGACAGACAGAATGCTTCAAATGCAGTGGGCAGGAAGATTTGAGTCGGAAGTATCTGTGAGACTGAAGAGTGGGGAGGGTAGACTCTGTCCCCCTGCCTATATTTCTACTCCTAGAAGACAGGGGAGTTCCTCAGACCAGGGGTGGCCAGTAGTGATGGGTCACTTTTGAGCTTGGGCAAGAAGTGTGCCCTAGGACTGCTGACCAGAGCAAAGGCCTGGAAAGTGGTACTGAACCACCTTGTTCTCTGAGCTCCCCCGAGCCCGGGAACCAGGCAGGCCCTAGGCCTGGATGGTGGTGCCTCAGGGAAGGAGGCCCTGGAAGGATGGCTGGCATTTGGAGCTGGTGCTAGAGTCCTCTGTAGGCTCCCGCATCCTGAGGACGTGGGGTGGGGAGGGAGTGGGGAGACGGGGTGCTGGACATAAGAAAGCAGGGCTTTGGAGGAGAGGGTGTTCTTATGGGCTTGGGATTCCTCCGGTAATTCTGGGTGTCAAGAGTGCCTGGACCTCCAGGGCAGAGTAGGTATGAAAAGAGGGAGAACGGGCTCTGCAACCTAAGAACACAGGGGTGCAGCAGGGCTAGGAGCCTGTCTACTTCCTACTCAGCTTCTTTCTGTGAACTCTTCACCTGGCCCAGCCCCCAGTTACCCGGTAGAGAACCTCAGGTGGGTGGAGGGAGGCACCCCCGGAAGGAGGAGCAGCTCTAGAGGTGACTGGGCTGTAAGAGGATGAGGGAAATTCCTCTCTTCAGCCTGTCTTTTTCCCTTGTGGGCTAAGAGTGGTTCTGTTCAGGAGGAGCTGGATTGAGGGAGGAGAAGGCAGGTGGAGTGATTAATGGTTGCTGGAGAGCTACCATTTTTTTTAAACCGGGAGCAACCAGGACTTGGAGAAGGAGGGCAGGCTGTGGGTGAGGCTGGGTCTGACAAAGTCAGTGTTTGCTCAGGGAGGATCTGGTCCCTTGCAAACCCAGGGCTGGTGAGTGTCCAGGGCCCTCCCAGACAGAGGGCAAGGGCAGGGTGTGGAATGGGCTGCAGCCTTTTGCCCCAGAGACCCTCCCTGGCGAATAGGGAGCTCCAACCCTTGGTCTCCTGTATCCCACCCCCCAGTTTCCCTCTAGAGAGCTGGAAAGTGCAGCTATGGGGAGGGGTAATGCTGAACCCACTGCAGCCCAGCTACTCCGGATGCCTGGTTCCCACACCTCCCTTTGGGGACCATGGGGATCAGTATTTTATACTCCTGCTCATGCCACCCCTGGAGAAGTCCTGCCCCTTCCCAGAGTGTGAGAGGAGGTTGCTGGCTGCCCAGTCTTACCTCATGTCCCTTTTTTCCTGGCCTCCCAGTTGCAAAGCCCCAGAAGGCATATGGTATGGGCAGATCTTATCTAGGATTGATGGTCGCCTGATTTCTCTGAGGCGCAGCTTGGAGCACCTACAACATCCTACAACATGCTTTGTAATGTGCAAGGTCCTGCAGGGCTTAGTGTTGCTTGAAAAGATAAAAGAAGTGAAGCGCCTTTTATCATGAGATGCTGAGATTGGCAGGGGGGATGAGCATGCGGGAAAGTGCCCCTGTGTGTGGGGGTGGAGCCAGCCCTGGGCACTGTGGTCCTTAGATGGCCCTGCCCCGGGAGTAGCTAGCTGCTCTTCAGCAGCATTTATAGGATTGACTTGGGGAGGAAAGTTCTGTCCCCTGACTCTGGGGACAGAAGACAAATTAGGGACCCCTTCCCCTTTGTCACTAAGCACTCCACTCCATCCGTCTCTGCTGATGGCTGAACTTGATCTGTTTTCCTTCTTTCATAGTCTGAGCAGAGCAGACTGCACTGGGTGCCATTGTTAGGAAGCCAGACCTGGAGCCACCTGCTGCAGGGCATAGAATGGGCATTGACCCAGGGATGGTTCTCCCTGTGTGCGGGAGGTAGGGCTGGCAGGAGAGAGTGTGGGAATTTCTCTAAGAAGCTGTTTGGGGAGCTGAGAAAGGCTGGCCAGGAAGTGGCGGGGCATCCTGACGCCAGCTCAGGGGGTCACTGGCGTCATCACAGGTGCTGCCAGCTAGTGCGGTTTCATGCTCCTGTGAGGGTGGGACCTGGGAATGGTCCCATTGCTCCATGACAATTGACAGCCACCTGGGGGTGGGACTTCCCCGGTGAACTCTGGGGGAGACTCGAGGGAGAGGGTTTCAGGCCTAGGTTGACCCAGGGGAGCTCTGCATGAGTGGCTTCAGGGTCAGATTGAAACCCAACCCAACAAGCCACAGCCTTTCCTCCCTTCGCCCTCGTCCTGGTCCTGGAGGTGGGGGTTATGGTGCAACATGGCTCAGGGCCAAGAGGTGCGGAATTGGAAGTGTCACTCTTAACAAAGGGGAATTGAGCAGCCCAGCTCTGGGAATTGCAGAGAGGAAAGCAAACAAACCAGGCCTGGCAGAGGGTCTCTAGGGGCACCTTGATAGCCGGGCCGGAGCAACCGGAAATTCAGTTGATTCAGTGCCCCCCCTTCAATACGATAGCAGGCAAGGGCAATTGCAAAGCTTTTCCAAAACAGAGAATACCTGACATCTGTTTGGCTCTGAGGTATGCTGAGGTTTAAAAATCATATTTACTTTATTAATTATGTCAGCCTTAGGCTAATATTAACATGCATTTCCTGACTAGGCAGCCAGGAGTGGCATCTAAGGGACAGGGCCACATCATCAGCCTGTGAATGAACAGGATTCAGAGAATTCAAAGAAAATCCTGAAGCCCTGGCTCCTAGGACTTAACACTCTGTGTACCTGTGATTGTCCTGCCCTTTTAGGATCTGAGTGACAAGAATTGTCCCCACTGAAGTGCTGCGGGGCAACGGTGTTTAGCATGGGCTGAGTCATTGGACCTGTACCAGAGGGCCGGCGGAAATGGGCACCTGGCTGAATCCTAGGCAGTCGGTAGCAGCAAGGAGGAGAGGCCTGGGCTTCTGGGGCAGGGCTGAAATAAAGCTGCTGTGGAGTGTGTGAACAGTTCCGACTGAGCCCCACCTGCCTGGCCCACCATGGTCCAGAGACTATGGGTGAGCCGCCTGCTCCGGCATCGGAAAGCCCAGCTCCTGCTGGTCAACCTGCTGACCTTTGGCCTGGAAGTGTGTCTGGCCGCTGGCATCACCTACGTGCCTCCCCTGCTGCTGGAAGTGGGGGTAGAAGAGAAGTTCATGACCATGGTGTTGGGTGAGTGCCTGTACCCTCCTTCCCTCCTGCTCCAGTTACGTGCACCTGGGATGTAGGGCAGTAGGTCCTCTGCCTAGAGAGCTACTCGGACAGCTGTCCCTGGGCCTAGTGGGCAGGCATTGCTAGGCAGACGGGTGACCCTGAGCTGAGGGAATCCCCCAAGAGAAATGAAATGATACAGGGACATAATCTAGCCACCTCTGCTTGCCTGGTCCCTACACAATGTCCAGCTCATGGAGACACTAGAAAAAAAAATTGCTCTTAACCTTTGTCCAGCCCTTTATAACTCACATCTGTGACCTCATTTACTCCTTACAGCAAGCTTTTGGGGCTTTCCGTGTTACAGGGAAAGAAACAGGCTTGTGAGAGCTTAGGGGAGTCACGGCCCAGGCTGTGCAGCTGCAGGGACTCAACCAGAGTCTCCCAGGCAGGGCCTTCTCTTACCCCAGGACAGGACACAGGCAAACTCCTCATGCTACAGGTGAATGCTGCAAAGCCACAGAAGACCAATGGTCACCATTATGTGACACTCACCCTCGGGAAGAAGGGTCCCTGAAGTGGGACCACCTGTCGCAGCCCTGCCTGTCACCTCCTTACCTCTGTGCCTTTGAATAAGTATCACTTCTAGTGCTCCATGCCTCAGTTTCCCCATCTGAAAATGGAGGCCTTTGTAGTACCCCTCTGAGGAGTAAGTTAAGACCCCATGAAGATGGTATTTCCATGCTTCTCAAGGAGCTACATCCCTTCTCCCCCTTCCCCTTCTTTGTCTCAGCCACTAACTCTTGCTTCTTGCTTTTCTTACAGGCATTGGTCCAGTGCTGGGCCTGGTCTCCGTCCCACTCCTAGGCTCAGCCAGTGACCAGTGGCGTGGGCGCTACGGCCGCCGGAGGCCCTTCATCTGGGCCCTGTCCTTGGGTGTTTTGCTGAGCCTCTTTCTCATCCCGAGGGCGGGCTGGCTGGCAGAGCTGCTGTGCCCAGATACCAGGCCCCTGGAGTTGGCACTGCTGATCCTGGGTGTAGGGCTGCTGGACTTCTGTGGCCAGGTGTGCTTCACTCCACTGGAAGCCCTACTCTCTGACCTCTTCCGGGACCCAGACCACTGTCGCCAGGCCTTCTCTGTCTACGCCTTCATGATCAGCCTTGGGGGCTGCCTGGGCTACCTCTTACCTGCCATTGACTGGGACGCCAGCGCCCTGGCCCCCTATCTGGGCACCCAGGAAGAGTGCCTCTTTGGCCTGCTCACTCTCATCTTCCTCACCTGCATGGCAGCCACCCTGTTTGTGGCCGAGGAGGCTGTGCTGGGTCCGCCTGAGCCAGTGGAAGCACTTTCAGTCCCCTCCACGTCTCCCCACTGCTGCCCATGCCATGCCCACCTGGCTTTCCGGAACCTGGGTACCCTGTTTCCTCGGCTGCACCAGCTCTGCTGCCGCATGCCTCGCACCCTGCGTCGACTCTTTGTGGCAGAGCTCTGCAGCTGGATGGCACTCATGACCTTCACACTGTTTTACACGGATTTTGTGGGTGAGGGCCTGTACCAGGGCGTGCCCAGAGCAGAGCCAGGCACTGAGGCCCGGAGACATTATGACGAAGGTAAGAAGGCCTCAGCAGCCAGTGGCAGCTGCTGGGTAACTGCATTCAGCAGACATTCCTGGGTTGGGAGAGGTTCCCGGGTGGGTGTGGGCTGGTGGCTGTGCATCCTGTTCGCCAACTTCCCATCAGGAAAGGAAAATAGACCCCATCCATGTCGGGCTCCTTGGGGAGTAGCTTTGCCTACTGCCTCAGTAGGGCTGCTAGCTTCTCTGTGTTCAGACGCACTGCCGCACTTTGTCAGAAGGAAAGACTGAGCTTACTCAAGGGACAGAGGAAGCAGGAATCAAGATGGATTTCGGCTCTGCTCAGCTCCATCCTGCCCTCTGCTCCCCTTCGGACTTTCAGATAACCTCACCAGGGCCGTCCTGATCAGTCGTTCTAGAATGTCATCTTCAAGCCTGGGTAGAAGCTGGGCGCCCAGCACATGCCTGTAATTCAGGGGATAAAAGCACCCCTGGGTTCAATCCCCAGAAAAAAAGAAAAGAAAAAAAAAAGGCTTGGTAGAACTTTCTTTGTGTCCCCTCTTACCCTTTTGTACCCAAAGCTGAGGGTCCTCATACATCTTCCTTAGAACATCTTCCTCTGCCCTCAGCCAACAGCTTTGGCCACATTGGCCAAGTGTCTGTGGAAGAGCCAAGACTCCCATTGCTACGGGGTGAGAAACTGAGGAGGGGGAGCAGATGCCCATGGCTCCTAATCCCCTGCTACCCCCAGATCGTGTAGGGTTTTTGACCCACCTGGCCTTGTCTGACCACCTCTCCCCTCTACATCCAGGTGTGCGGATGGGTAGCCTGGGGCTCTTCTTGCAGTGTACCATCTCCCTGGTCTTCTCCCTGGTCATGGACCGGCTGGTGCAGCGATTTGGCACCCGGGCAGTCTACCTGGCCAGTGTGGTGGCCTTCCCAGTGGCTGCTGGCGCCACTTGCCTGTCTCGCAGTGTGGCTGTGGTGACGGCCTCGGCAGCCCTCACCGGGTTCACCTTCTCAGCCCTACAGATCCTGCCCTACACGCTGGCCTCCCTCTACCACCGTGAGAAGCAGGTATTCACGTTGGCCCTTGGCCAGTAGGGTGGGGAGGCAGACTAGTCCAAAACCCAGTGTCTGGCAAGAGGTGTTGGAGAAGACTTTCTCTGATCCGAGGAAGGTCATCTTAGCTCCCAGGCAGGAGCTTGGGCTGCGGAAGAAGCATGTAGATTAGATTCTGGGAATGACTTCCTGGCTTTGGAACTATAAAGCACTTGAGTGTGTGATTGCAGGAAGTGAAGAATCTTTCACCGGGAATCCTGAAGAATCGGGCTAGAGAAGCCCTCAGTCTGGGCTGTCTTCTCCCAGGAGGCAGGGGCCTGGGTGAGATGCCCTCTGGGGCACCTAGCTTCGGCATATGGTGGTAGAATGGCCAGGCCTTAGCCACAGGGAGAGGCCTTGTGACTAGCCTGAGTCTTGCTCTGGTCTCCAAAATGGGGAGGGCTCTCTCTTTCAGGTTTATCTTCCTCTGAATTCTCCCTTTCCTGCCTCACACCTTTACCTCTGTCCCCTTCCCCTGCCCCTTGGTGGATATCTGAGCCGGATATACCAGTTCAGCTCACCTGGGCACTGGGTAAGTTGGGGGCCTTCTTCCTGCTTGACCCCACACTAAACAGCCCCTTCAGGAGGAGGGTAGATTTTTGTATGCAGGAAGGTGGTTACCCTTGTCCCCTCCACTGACTTCACTGAGCTACAACGCTGGATGCAGGATTCTACCCCAGGGGGCACAAGTTGGGGTGTCTCAGGGTGGAGACACAGGCCTGTGCTCATAGAGCTGCCAGGTATAGGGAAAACCTGTCCTTGCCCCTGTAGGACAGGAGTGCAGTAGCTAGGAGGCTGGTTTGCTCTGCAGGTAGCTGCAGGGGGAGGGGCTAACTTTGGGAGGGGAACTGGTCCCTGAGGCTCCTCTGGGCCCGTGGTATCTTTCACCAGTCCCTACTCTCAACGCTGCCCTGGGCTGGAGACTAGGCCTGAGCATGTGCATTGGAGCCAGGGGACAGGCTGGGACTCATGCTTGTTACTGAGGAGCATGTTTGTCCCCAGGGACCTCTCCAGACTCCAGCCTCTCAGGCCTTTCCTGGGGCAGCAAGCAGGACAGGTCCTAGGAGGCAGCAGAGGGCAGACTTGGCCCTGCACACTGTCGGCTTGGCCTTTGCCCACTTGTCAGGCTTCATGATGAGCCTTGGGCTTCCCTGGCACCAGGCTAGAACTGTGTCCTGGCTCCCAGCTTATTCATGCAGCCAACTCAGGAAGCCAGCGCTGTGGCTAGACATCATGGGGCACGCCTGTAATCCCAGCTACTAGGGAGGCCGAGGCAGGAGGATCACAAGTTCAAGGCCAGCAAGACCCTGCCTCAAAATAAAAAATGAAAAGGGCTGGTGATGCAGCTGGTGATGAGTGATAGAGAACCCAGGGTTCAGTTGTCAGTATATTAAAAAAAAAAGCCTGTGCTAGATACAGTGTGAGATAAGATCTGGTCTTGTCCTTAAATAGGCCCCAGGCCATTGAGGTGGGGGTGGGGGAGATAGATCAGACTCAGCCTCTGATCTCTGGTGAACAGCAGGAAGGAAGTGAGAAGGGCTTCAACGTTAGACAGCTGGGCTGTGGGAGTGGGCAAGGGGGTCACTCCTGCTGCTCCTCCCTTCCCTAGACCCCATCTGCCAGCCCTCCAGCCCCCCAGTCCTCCCTGGCTGAAGTCTAGGGCAGGGACCTCACTGTGGGCAGCAACTCCAACTCCAACTCCAGGGCCTGCAACCCCAGAGGGGCGGGGCTTCTCCCTGGCAGGGCAGTGAGGATTTCCAGATGGCCAAGAAGAGGGTGGGCAGGGAGGAAGAGGGCTGGAGACCCTGTGTGGGGTCTTATCCCTTCTCTCGTGGTTCTCTCCTCTCACCTGCCTGATTCTTTCTGTCTCTCCCTTTTCTTGGGAGGCTCGGCTGTCTTCCTAATCTGCAGAATCAAGTTTGTGACTTACCCAAGAAAAAGCCAGAGGAGACCTTGAGGTCTGGTTTTGGCTTTGCACCTTTATGGCCGTCATTCCTGCTATTCCTGAAGTCCTGTCTAGACCTGGGTCAAGTAGGGTCTCCTCAGCTCTCTGACCTGTTGCCTGTTTTCTTTTGGCCCCGGGGTTGAAAGCTAGGGCCTGTTCTTATAGCTGGGGATGCCCGTGCCTGAGTACACACCTGTTCTCGTCCCCTCTTTTCCACCCCCCCCCCCAGGTGTTCCTGCCCAAATACCGAGGGGACACTGGCAGTGGTGGCAGTGAGGACAGCCTGACGACCAGCTTCCTGCCAGGCCCAAAGTCTGGAGCTCCCTTCCCCAACGGACACATGGGTGCTGGAGGTGGTGGCCTGCTCCCAGCTGCCCCTGCGCTCTGCGGCGCCTCCACCTGCGATGTCTCCATGAGAGTGGTGGTGGGTGAGCCTACCGAGGCCAGGGTGATCCCGGGCCGGGGCATCTGCCTGGACCTTGCCATCCTGGACAGTGCCTTCTTGCTGTCCCAGGTGGCCCCATCCTTGTTTATGGGCTCCATTGTCCAACTCAGCCAATCTGTCACTGCCTATATGGTGTCAGCCGCAGGCTTGGGTCTGATTGCCATTTACTTTGCTACACAGGTAGTATTTGACAAGAGTGACTTGGCCAAATACTCTGTGTGAAATGCTTCCTGCACACTGAGGAGGGGGCCTGCCTTGCCTGGTCTGCGTTCCCACCGGGCTGCAGGGCTGACTTTCCAGTTTTTGTTGCTGCCAAAGTGGCATGGCTCTCTGCTGCCACCCCGTGGCAGTGAGTTGCATAGCTGCAGAGATAGGGGACGGTGGCTTCCCTCTCCCATCTCCCCAGTCTCTAGGGCTGGCCGAATGGCAGTTTCAGTGTGGATTTGTGCAAGGAGGCCAGGAAGGCAGAATAGTTGATTAGCTCCATGCACTGGAATGCAGGACTCTGCAGGTGGCCTGGCCAGGCTCAGGGTTAACAGCCAGTGTCCTGATTGAGACCTACCTGGAGAAGGGATTTGAAAAACTGAACAAACTCCCACCCCAGGCCCCCTTATTCTGCAGAACCCCTGCCCGTGTGGCTCTTGCATGGAAGTTTCTAGTGTGAAACTTTCAACAATGTTTGGAGGGGTGAAAGCTAATTGAGAGGAAGAGTCCTAAGGGGCCAGGTGAAGCCCCCTTGGTCTACAGCACTGCCTTTCTGCTGATCCCCCCAAACCCTTTTATCAGGACATGGCTTGTTGGTCCCTGGGTTGCCATCATGAGGACACAGGCCTTTAAATATTTAACTTATTTATTTAACAAAGTAGAAGGAAATCTATTCCCAGCTTTTCTGGGTTGGTGTCTCGGAGTTGGGTTCAGTGGGATCACCAACAACCAGTCCCCTGAAATGTCTGGTCATTGGGCTGAGCATTGCCAGAATCCCTTCTCTTGGGGTGATAGGTCTGGCCCCCAAAACTACCTAACCCAGCACCTTGGAAGCACTACTCACCCCAGTTGATATCCCAGATGTCCTCACCCAAGGCTGGGGACATAAGGAACAGTGGAAAAGCTCCGGGCCTCAGCAGCATCCCCAGCCTCCTCTCCTCCCTTGGCCCAGCCTAGCTCCTCCAATTCCCCTCTGTTCCCTGTAGGACTGGGAGGATAAAACACTGCCCTTCACTCCCACTTCACCCCAACTTTCCCCACCGGCTCCACAACCTCTCTTTGGGGCTATTGCAGGACCAGAAGCACACCTGTGGTTCCTCGAGCCTTTGTCCATCTCAGCCTCCAGGGCATATCTGTGCTCGGGGAATCTCACACAAACTCAGGAGCACCCCACCGAGCCAAGGAGCTCTTATATCTTGGGGGTTTAAGTGCCGTTTGCAATAATGTTATGTCTTATTTATTTAGTGGAGTAAATATTTTATACTGTATGTGAGCAATCAGAGTATAATGTTTATGGTGATGAAATTAAAGGCTTCCTATATGTTTAATTGGCCTGTGTTTATTTTGTCGAGGGGGAAGAACCAGGTCTCTCTAAAATCATCCTGGCTGAGCTTTGTGGCAAAGCCTGTAATCCCAGTGACTTGGGAGGCTGAGGCAGGAGAATCGGAAGTCTGAGGCCAACTTAAAAAACTTTGTGAGCCCAGCACAGTGGTGCACACCTGTCATCCCAGCAGCTCGGGAGGCTGAGTCAGGAGGATTATGAGCCTCAACAAAAGTGAGGCACTAAGCATTTCAGAGAGACCCTGTCTCTAAATAAAATACAAAATAAGGTTGGGGATGTGTTTCAGTGGCCAAGTGCCCCGGAGTTCAATCCTGGTACCCTTCCAAAATAAACAAAAATAAGAGACACTGTCTCAAAATAAAAAAAGGACTAGGAATATAGGTCAGTGGTAAAGTACCTCTGGGTTCAATCCCCAGGGCCCGGCTCCCCCCCCCACCCCCAAATTATCCTCAACTCCTTCTTGGTTGGGGACCCTTAGCTTTCATCAACGTCAGTTCTCAGGATCCACCAGCAGATGGAGCCATAGGCCAGCACTCTGGGTTGATGGGCAGTCCCAGGAAGCTGTGCTACACCTGGATTGGGGAGTGTGAGAATAGAGGAAGAGAACAGGAAGAGTGTGAAGTTCACAAGAGCGGGGGCATTTTTTTTTTCTCAAAGGTTCAGAGAAGAAGGTGGAACAAGCACCCATAACACAGCAAGAGAATAGGGAACACACCTGACAAGTGCATGGTGAGGATTTCGGCACCTTTGTGCCTTGGTCATATCCTTTACACGGGTCCAGGTCAAGTTTTTTTTTTTTAGAGAGAGAGAGAGAATTTTTTAAATTATTTAATTATTTTTAGTTTTCGGCAGATACAACATGTTTTTTTTTTTTTAATTGGTTGTTCAAAACATTACAAAGCTCATGACATATCATCTTCCATACATTTGATTCAAGTGGGTTATGAACTCCCATTTTTCACCCCAAATACAAGTTGCAGAATCACGTCGGTTACACATCCACATTTTTACATAATACCATATTAATGACTGTTGTATTCTGCTGCCTTTCCTATCCCCGACTATCCCCCCTCCCCTTCCCTCTCATCTTCCCTCTCTACCCCATCTGCTGTTGTTTAATTCTCTCCCTTGTTTTTTTTTTTTTCCCCTTTCCCCTCACAAACTAAAAAATGACAAAATCATGGATTTTGCAGGGAAATGGATGGCATTAGAGCAGATTATGCTAAGTGAAGCTAGCCAATCCTTAAAAAACAAATGCCAAATGTCTTCTTTGATATAAAGAGAGCAACTAAGATCAGAACAGGGAAGAAGAGCATGAGGAAAAGATTAACATTAAACAGAGACGAGTGGGGGGAGAGAAAGGGAGAGAGAAGGGAAACTATGGAAATGGAAGGAGACCCTCATTGTTACACAACATGTTTTTTTGTATGTGGTGCTGAGGATCGAACCTGGGCTGCACGCATGCCAGGCGAGTGCGTAACCGCTTGAGCCACATCCCCAGCCCGGTCCAGGTCAAGTTCACAACCATCCCTGCCTTCTCATCTCCCTGACTTTTTCAACTTTGGCCTGCCTTTCTCTCAATTTCTGAGTGGTCAATACAGTTAACACTTTGGCAAGGGTTCATTTAACTTATTTTTTAAAATATTCTATTTATTATTTGACTTTATGATGAAATTTTCCAAATAGAAGTAGTCAGCCTGGTATGATGAGCCCAGTTTCACAATTAAATCATTGTCATTTTGGTTTCAGCTATGTCTTTCTCCCCTCCACCCCTGTTTCCCCCCATCCCTGTTTTTTTTTTGTGTGTTTTGTGAGTTTTTTTGTTTTGGAGTACCGAGGATTGAACTCAGGGTGTTTAGAGACAGGGTCTCACTGAGCTGCTCAGAGCCTCACCATTGTTGAAGCTGGTTTTGAACTCTCGATCCTCCTGTCTCTGTCTCCCCAACTGCTGGGATTACAGGCACGTGCAACCTCGCCTGGCTGGTTTTTTGTTTTTATTTTTATTTTTTTATACTGGGGATTAAACTTAAGAGTGCATTACCTCTGAGCTATAGCCCCAACACTTTTTATTTCATTAAATTTTTTTTGTTTTAGTTGTAGATGGACACAATACCTTTATTTTATTTATTTATTTTTATGTGGCGCTGAGGATCAAGCCCAGGGCCTCGCACATGCTAGGCGAGCGCTCTACCACTGAGCCACAACCCCAGCTCCCCAACACTTAAAAAAAATTTTTTTTCTTTAGTTGTGGATGGACACAATACCTTTATTTTTATGTGGTGCTGAGAATCAAACCCAGTGCTTCATGTGCTAGGCAAGTGCTCTACCACTGAGCCACAATCCCAGCCCCTCTCCAACACTTTTTTTTTTTTTTTTTAAAGAGAGAGAGAGAGGAGAGAGAGAGAGAGGGAATTTTAATATTTATTTTTTAGTTATCGGCGGATACAACATCTTTGTTTTTTTGTATGTGGTGCTGAGGATCGAACCCGGGCCGCACGCATGCCAGGCGAGCACGCTACCGCTTGAGCCACATCCCCAGCCCTCTCCAACACTTTTTTAAAAAAATTTGAGAAAGGGTCTCTTGGGGTTGCCTGAGCTGACCTTGAACTTGCAATCCTCCTGCCTCAGCCTCCCGTTCCCAGAGTATTTTTAAAGCATGTGCCAGTCAATTTCTTTTCAGCTATTTATACCTCAGTATTTGACTCTAAGAAATAGAACTTTTTAGCAACTTGATCACAATACCATGATATCTAACAAAGTATGCAATAAATATACTCAATTATATAGTCCATGTAGTTTTCCCCAATTGCTTAAAAAACATGTATTTTTACTTTTGGTTGGTTCAAATTAGGACCCAACTGAGAAAAAAATTACATTTAGTTGTTAAGTATCTCAAGTTTCTCTTAATTCCTAATGGTTTCCCTCTTTTTTTTTTTTTTTTTTAAAGAGAGAGTGAGAGAGAGAATTTTAATATTTATTTTTTTAGTTTTTGGCGGACACAACATCTTTGTTTGTATGTGGTGCTGAGGATCAAACCCGGGCCGCACGCATGCCAGGCGAGCACGCTCTACCGCTTGAGCCACATCCCCAGCCCTTTTTTTTTTTTTTTTTGCCATTCATTTTATATACAAGCTTTTTTTTTTTTTCCCCCTGCAGAGTGGTCCACGTCCTGCATTTAACCAACTGTACCCTCAGGAATTGAGGCCAGGAATTGGAGAGAGGGTGGCCTGGGTAGAGTTGGGTAGGCGTGCCCCATCCATTCCTGGACCTTCTTTGTGGCCCAAGGTGGTCCCCCACCCCCTCCAGAACTAGTTACAGTGAGATGGGGATCTCAAGTGTCTTCTTATACTGCTGGAAGAGAAGACCTTGTTTTCCAGGGTCAGATCTGATTACAGTGGCCTGGCACTTCTGACACTGTTGGCTGAAGAGCTGTGTAGTGCTCAGACTTTCTGACATCTAACACTGTCACTAGGTCTCCACGCACATTTGGAGGAAGCTTGATGTGCCCTGGTGACCGTACCACTTGACCTCAACCTGCCCTTCACTAGAACTTGAGCTTGGACAGATCACTCTCCTGCTGTGTGTACAAATGAGCGTGTTAGTAGACCATTTCTACCGATTCAGCTGCAGAGGCGTTTGGCACTTTACAGTCCCCACTTAATGCACTCATTTCATCCAATAATGCTTGTCTACCTTCCCCAGGCTGGACCCTCTGTGAGCCAAGACTTGGTTTCTGGCAGCTCAGATGGGGCTGTGAGGGAGGGACCTGGATCCTGGGGAGAATTTGTGTGTGTGCACACATGGGTGCATGGTACTGGGGATCGAACCCAGGGGTGCTGTACCACTGAGCATCCCCAGTCCTTTTTATTTTTTTATTTTGAATCAGGGTCTCACTAAGTTTCCCAGGCTGGCCTCCAACTTGCAATCCTCCTCCTCCAGTCTCCTGAGTCTCTGGGACTACTGCACCTGCCTCTGGAGAGGACCTTGACCCAGAGAACACCACACAGGCTGGCTGGCTTCTCAGTGTTTTGTTGCAGTGATGTGTGAATAGCACAGACGTGGCTGCTATAGACTCAGTGTGTCCCCTTAAATTATGCTGAAACTTAACCCCCAACATGAGGGCATTTGGGAGTGGGGCCTCTGGGAGGTGATTATGTCAGGAGGGTGAAGCCCTCATGAATGGGATCATTGCCTTTATAAAAGAGACCCAGAGAGCTCCCTCACCCCTTTTGCCAAATGAGGACACAGTGAGAAGGTAGCATCAGTGAACCAGGATCTGAGTGCTCACCAGACATGGAAGCTGCCAGAGCCCCGGTGTTGGTCTTCCAGCCTCCAGAACTGTGAAAAATAAATATCTGTTGTTTATAAGCTACCTGGTCTCTGATATTTTGTTATAGTCCCAGCTGATTAAGATGGTGAGGCAGAGGCAGTTATCTTTCTTTCAGTGACAAAATTAAGGCCTGAATAGATGATGTGATTTGCCCAAAGACAACTGGTTCAGGGCTATTTTTGTTCTATTATCAAGTTTTGAAAAGTAGAGGTGAGGGACATATAGAAAGCCTCTGCATTATCTTTGCAACTTTCCTGTAAATCTAATATCATTCCAGTATTAATTTTTTTTTGTACTGGGAATTGAACCCAGGGATGCTTAACCACTGAGCCACATTCCCAGGCCTTTATTAATCTTTTATTTTGAGATGGGGTCTCACTGTGTTGCTTAGGGCCTTGCTAAGTTGCTGAGGCTGGCCTTGAACTTGTGATCTTCTGGCCTCAGCCTCCCACATTGCTGGGATTACAGGCATGCACCACAGCACCTGGCTAAAAAGCTAATTTTTTTTAAAGTAGAGGAATTTTGAGAATTCCTCCAGCCCTTCAAGACATGTTCAAGGAACCAGTTATTTCTAACAGTACAAGGAAACCAACAGGATAGAGGAACAAAGTTGGGGGAAAGGGGATTACACTACAAGGAGGATTTTTTTGTTTGCT